CAATAAATAAGTAAAAAAATATATTAACAATTAATACCAAAAATAGAAATTTAGAAAATATCAAATTCTAACATTAGCAATAATCATAAGATCTTCTCCTCATAATAAGAAAGACTTCAAAGAACTTGATATCTACATAACTAAAAGTGAGTGGATCTATAATCTATTGAAAAATAAAAAAATAAAACTTTAAAGTCACTAACATATAGCATCAACAAGGTTGCTCACAAAAAGAGTATGTAATAAGATGTCTCTGACTTCCAACATTCATTACTTATAGGTGGTGGTTGTTGCCTTAATGGACAACTTCCATCCTTTGATGAATACATCCATCCAACATTCTACCAAGACTATCCATTGCTATCTTATTTACTATGGAAATATATATTGAGCATATTTTTTATATTCTTAAGATCCTTTATTTGTTCATCTATTTTATCTCTTGGCCTTATTACATATCAAGAGGCAACCGTTTAATCATTAGTAACTTACCTAAAGTAATATCCTTTATAATGTAATTTATTCTACTTTTATATTTTCTTATTTACTTTAATATGATAAAGTCCTATTAAATTTTTAAATAAATTATGAAAAAAAATCCTAAAGAACTTCTAAAATAATCTTAAAGAAATAATAAAGAAATCCTAAATTTTAAATTAAATTATAATAAATTTCTAAACAGATTCTAATTAAAATTTAATTAATTCAAACCAATCCTAGAATAATTTTAGAACCTCATTATCTATTGATTAAATTATTGATCTTACTTAAAATTTTACACACCTTTCAATTTTTTAATTAACAACAAGTACAATAATTTTGAAGAAAATTGAACTTATAAAAATAGAAGAAAAATATTATAATCTGCTCAGGTCTTAGCTAGCTTTTATCTTTGACCTTAATGTTGATCTTCCAACAGCAATAACTCCTAAATGAATTATTAACTTTCTTTCAAATTTCACATACAATGGGAGAAAATCAGACCTTATGGTACAAAACCATACACCTATCATGATTCCATTATTTTTTAGTAGATTAGAGAATAAGATTTGAAAAAAAAATTGAAAAGAGATTTTTGGACATTAATTTTATGTCATTTGGATCAATATTGAATTTTTGAGGGATTTTCAAAGTTAGTACTATTCTTAGTTGGTTTAGATTTTGAGAAATAAAAATATATTTACAAATTTGAGGATTTCTTGAGTTTTGCAGTGTATATATAGGTAAATTTTGGATAGTGTATTGATGTGCTAGTTATAAAAGTGTGCACAAATTTTAAAGTCAATTGAACAACTAGATTGAAGTATGTCAAGGTTTTTGTAGGTTGGGGTCTCAAAAATTAAAGTTTAAAGATAAGTGAGGATTTTTAAGATTTTCAACAATTTCTTGATTGGATTGAAGTGAATTATTTTTTTATGGTTATTAGATTTGATTTTCAATATTTAAATGAAATATAAAAGAAATTTACTAATTCAAAAAGGAGATATTAGTTCTGAAATTACAGCATTTAGGTTGGAATAGGACGCGGTCCAATGCCTAATTGGATTATCTTGAATTTCTTTCAATTAATAATTTTGATTGATTTCATCTTTTTTGTACATATTTCTAATTAAAACAATAAGAAAAGAGTAATTTTTGAATCAATATCAACAGTTTGATTATTACTTATTGAGGTTCCATTTTGCTATATGATTTGTTAAGAATTTGTTTAAGATCTAGGATTTGGTGTAAGATTTGGTTAGTATAAGAGTTTTCTTAGAATTTGGTTGAAAACTTGTGTAGGATTTTTCTAAGATTTAATATTTTATTAGGATTTCTTTAGAATTTTATTATAGTTTGTCTTAGAATTTTATTATAGTTTGTCTTAGGATTTGATTCAATTAGGATTTCAATTAGGATTTGATCTAAGATTTTTTAAAGATTCAACTAAGGTTTTAATTAAGATTATATTAGTATTTTAATTTTTAATTTTTTTTTTAAGATTCTTTATGTTTTTTTGTAACTTTTTTTAAATTAATTTTAATAGGTTAAAGTTTGATTGGATTATTAGGAATTATTTGAAGTTTATTTAATGTTCTATTAGACTTAGTAAAATTGTTGTTGCTTTCTTACTTACTTTCCACAACTAGGTGTCCAATGCATTCTCAAGTAAGAATACACCTAACATAACATTGATCCTTTCCAAATATCAATCCAACCTATGATATGGATTTTTAAGCACAATCTTATCTTCACTTTTATTCTAATATCAAATATATCAATTATTTATCTTTTTTATCTTATTTTTATCAATTTATGGTATTTTTTAGGTTGTTAAATACTTTTTTTAGATATTTTTATCTTATACCTAAAAAAAGATGTAGCTTTTGATCAACAAAGAACAATTTTTTTGAAGTCATAGCATTTTCATCTTCAAGCAATGAAATCAACATTAACTATTGAATGAACATTTTTCAAGCAAGTTCAATCAAGCATATCCTTAGATTCTCTTGTTCATGATATTAAGAATTATTTTTTTAATTATTATGATACTTTTAAGTTAAAGTTCAAGAATAATCTACTCTATTTTAAAGAATGATTATATATTCTAAAAAATAAGAAAAATTATTAGTTCTTCAAGCTGGTTATGATTTTTTAATAACCGGATATTTTGGATAAAACAAAACTTTGGAGCTAATATTGAAAGATTTTTAATGGCCTCAAATATAAAAAATAGTTAAAGACTTTGTACAATCATGTGATATTTGTTCAAGATCAAAAACTCATTATTAAACTTATGGATTTCTTCAACCATTACTTATACAAGAAAAATTATGGTTTTTTTTTTTTATGGATTTTATTATGGATCTTCTAGTCTCAAATTTATATGATTTTATATTTGTGATAGTAGATCATTTTATCAAGATGGCATATTTTATATCATATACAAAATCTATCACAAGTAAAAAAAACAACCAAGCTTTTTTTTAACAATATCCATCACTATTATTGATTATCTAAGGATATCATATTGGATAGAAGGATTTAATTTGTATCAAGATTTTGGACAATCCTTTTCAAAATTCTAAAAAAGAATATAAGCTATTTTTGACTTTTCATCTTTAAATCAATGAATAGACAAAGTATATAAATCAAGTTTTAGAATAATATTTAAGATGTACCATCAACTACCAAAACAATGATTGGATAATTCTTTTATTATTGAAAGAGTTTTTTATAATAATAGAATATATTTTTTTACACAACAAACATCTTTCTTTATTAATTATATTTATTATCTACAAGTTAATAATTTTGACTTTGTAAAAATTAATAATTCTATGGTAGAAGATTTGGCAAATTATATATTTGAGCTCCATACAACAATGAAGGCATAATTAAAAGAAACTAAAAAATGACAAAAGACCAATACACATGCTTATTGCAAGAAGTAACTTCAATTCTATGTTAGTAACAAGGTATGATTACTTTGTCACAATATCATGAGTAACTGCCCTTTTGACAAATTGGATTATTATAAGCTTGGATCATTTCATATTCATAAACAGATCAATCTAGTTGCTTATAAATTAAATTTATTAGAGTCTATGAAGATTCATCTCATATTCCACATGTCTCTTCTTGAGCCATATGAGATAATGAATATCTTGAAAAAAAAAATGCCACCTCTTCCTATATAAGTAGATGACAATCAAGAATTCAAGATAGAAGAAATTTTAGACTCAAGGCAATACCAAAATAAGTTCGAATTTCTTGTTTATTGGCATGGATATGATATTAGTGAATGTACATGAGAGCCTATTAAAACTCTTATAAATGTAGCAAAGAAATTTCATGCTTTTTATTGACAAAATCTATTAAAACTAAGATGAAGAATAGCAAATTTTTTCTATAAAAGTAACATGGTTTAAAAAAGATGAAACTCTACCTTTTATTTTTATTTTTAGTTTTTGTATATTTGTAGTACTAAAAAGATGAAGAATCAATAGCCAATAGATTTAACTCAAGAACTATTATTTGCTAAATTATCAAACAAGATATTGTGATTGTCACGACCTTCAAAACGATGTAATCAAAAAGAAGATTTTTAAAAATGACATATTCTTCCTTGAATGAATGGAGGAATACAACGCGTTTGATATCATGACCTTTGAAGAGACTTTTGATGTTTGATGATTTTATTAGAGGTAGAAACAATTCATGACAATGTTCATTGGTATAAAAAACTATCAATGGCTAAGAGGATCTATCAACCACATTCAAAGAGAACAAAGATTAAAATATGTGACAAATACGATTTGTTATATCTTAAATTTTTTCAACATATGATAGTTGATCTTTGTGAAACTCATCTTTAAAAGAGGGAGTAAGTTCAAGGATATGTATATTTATTCCAATAATTATCTATATGATTAGGTAGAAATAAAATAAAATAAAAAAAAGATTAATTAGATAATATTTTATATAGAATTTTTTTAGAAACTTGATAAATATGACTTTGATTTTATACGTGTTTATTGTTTGTTAGCAAGTAAGAAACTTAATTATTGAGTTAGGCACGTGTTATATATGTTGATAACAAGCTAATAATGTGGCATACATGTAACAAACTTGCCTTGCAAGTTGAGACATGTGTTTTGCAATTTGGACACATGTTGGAGGTCATATAGAACATTGCCAAATAGCTTTTAGTTAAATAATATATATAGAGGTAAGAGTAATACCTTTTTCACTCTTGTCAATGCCTTTGTAATCTTTAATCTTGTTTATGGATTTTCTAATCTTGTCTTAGGCAATAACCATTCTAATTTAACATGATACCATTTTTGAATGATTTTTTAGTTTTTTAAATAACACAAGCATTTTAATCTTTTAATTTTCTAAGATTAATGTCCTTGATAACATGGATACAAAACACAAACTATACTACAAAAGTTTCAATTGACTTTTGCTGACAAAAGCCTTTCATCCAACTAATCACTACAATATGCACAATTGGCTTGCATAAAATGGTATCCCATATTGTCGATTTGATATTACCACATCATTAAAAAATCAATTAATTCTCTTTGCTAAAAGATATAACACAACTACAAATATTGACATGTACTTTAAGTGACTCCCTCTTCTAAATCAATCTTAATACAGCAGTTACTAAGCTCTTCATTCCACATTTGGTACATAGCAAATGTGTTACTATTTCCTACATGGTATCAAAGCACTTATAGTAGGAATAGCTTGATCAAATGCCAGACAAGCAACATTATCTCAGCACTTTCTACTTGTTAGAGCAACATGCCAAAACCGCACATTAGCTATAACTATCTCTAGTGCATGAAGGAGCACATACACTAGTCTGAAAATCTCTGCAATCTCTGCCAATATTATTCTAGTAGACAAGCAGCTAGGCAGCACGGCAGCAATACATCTGCAACAGCAGTAGACAAATGGAGGTCAGGCACCATTAGTCACAGCACGGCAACAATCGACCCGCACCAGGAGCAAAGGATGAACGCCAAGACCCAAAATTGCAGCACGGTAGTACAATCGCACTTCACAAGAAGCAACAGGAACAATACGCAAAGAAGAGCTTGCAATCAAACAGCGCCAATATTGCAAGTCACGAGTCAAGACGAGAACTTCTTCATGTCAAAATCAAACAAGTTAGAGGGCGATCTCAACTTCATCGCCTGGAAGGTCCGAATAAAGTTCGCATTTATGCGAGAGAGCGTCTGGTATACGGATAACAGAACATCCTCAACCAGTACCATCGAACAAGATGGAGCGGAAGTTATCAACACCAATTCGCTGCTAACATCTGAAGCAATCGAGAAAGAAAAAATCAAAGCACTTACTATGTTCAGCTCCGTCAAAGACAACATCATCCACCACATAGCTACAAAAATAGACCCCGCAGAGTGTTGGCGTACTCTTCACAAACTTTATGAGAGCAAAAACACAGCCAGGACCGTCTACCTGTTCGACCAATTACAAGCTCTGCACTTTGAGGAATCACAATCCATGGCCGAGTACATCCGTTGCACCAGAGTACTCACCTTCCAACTCCAGGCAGCAGGTGAGGTACTCTCTACCGACCGCATCGTGCACACCACGTTACCAGTCGCATATGAACCATTCATTCAAGGGCTCATGGGCCAAGACAATCTTTCATCCTTCAAAAAGCTCTCCAGTCGGCTCCTAATCGAAGAACAATAAAGAACAATTAGGCCACGAGAACATGGAGACGCCATGATGTTTCATGGACGGGGGAGACACCTAAACAAACGACCCAGCACGGGATCCATTCCATCATACCAGCACCATGACAATGAACTCAAGCAAACTTCTGATAACATAAAGCGGAACGGTCGATGTAACAATTGTAGAGAGTGGGGGCATTGGGCACGCGAATGTCACCACCCCCGTTGGCAAAGACGAATCCAAACACGCAAACAACCAACGTACTCTGTAACCGCAGAAGATGAAAAGAAGAGCGAGCAGGAGAAACCCGACAACAAAGAACCATAATTCTTTGACGTTTCCATGCTCGCACTCAACTTGGACAGAGATGACATTGGTACTTTGAGAGCGGCGCATCAGTTCACGTCACAGGTAACCCCCACAATCTCAAAAATCTGAAAATGCCACATGCGATAACAAGTGTACGTTCCATCCCAGGAAATTGTCACCAAGTCAATGGGGAGGGCAACAGTATCATTCGTCACGCACAAGGCACACAACAGGTCCACAACGCTTTGCACGTACGAGGGGTACGCAAGAATTTACTAAGCGTTGGCATGCTAGCGGACAAAGGGTATGTGGTTTTCTTCACAAGCCAGTCATGTTGGATCGCAACCAATACTTCACCGTCAACTATATTGGCCAAGAGAATTAGAGACAATGCCAACGGACTGTACAGACTTCTCCCTCCAGGAACACCGCTGAAAAACCCATCTCATTGTCCACGACCGGAGCTGCCCCAGCCCGGTCCACCACAACTCCTCCTCACAGCCCATGACAAGACCAAACTGTGGCACCGACGCCTCGGGCACATCAATTACTGGGTGCTGCATGCTTTCTCGAAATCAGGCCAAGAACGAGGACTCCCGCACCTGCCATCAACACAAGTATTTTGCAAAGAATGCGTCCACGCAAAACAGCAAAAGACTGCCGCTCCGAAACAAAGTTCGAACCGCGCCACTCATCCCTTCCAACTCCTTCATACTGACCTTTGCGGCCCGTTCACCACACCCTCGCTCGGAGGCTCAAAGTACTCCCTCGCACTAACCGATAACTACAGCAGGCGCACCTGGACTTTCTTCCTACCCACCAAAGAAACCGCACTTAACAAATTTCAAGCTTTTAAAGCTACTGAAGAAACCCACTACCGGATAAGGGCCTTATGAACCGACCGTGGCGGGAAATTCATGTCCATGAGTTCAAGAATTTTTGCGATCAGCACGGCATTTGTCGGGATCTCACTGCACCCTACTCTCCCAACCAAAACGGAGTCGCAGAACATTAACACAAAACCATCCACGACTGCGCCAGAAACATGGCTCTATCTCGCCTCCCTCATCTCCAATCGCACCTGGCAGCTCATTCCACTCCCAGCAGGCAAATTGCCCATTTCAACAAAGTGGGTGTTTAAGACGAAAATAGCTGCTGATGGAAAATCTGAGAAGCTGAAAGCCCGCTCAGTTGCCCGGGGATTCCAGCAACGCCCGGGCATCAACTTTGAGGAAACATTCTCTCCCACCGTAAAGTGGGTAACAATACAAATCATCTCGCCATGGCATCCGCCCAGACTTGGCCGATCAAGCACCTCGACGTCAAATCGACCTACCTCAATGGATCCCTACAAGAGGAGGTTTATATGGTACAACCCGACGGCCTAAAGCACCAAGGCTGCCTTGTGTGCAAGCTTCTCAAGGCCATCTACGGCCTTAAGCAATCAGGAAGAGCTTGGTACACCAACATTGACTCCTTCCTTCACCAGCACGGATTAACCCGCAGTGAGTTGGACTACAACTTGTACTTTGCAATTTCTGCCCACGGATTATATACCATTCTCATCTTGTACGTGGATGATATACAAATCACTGGGGACGATGCCAATGCTGTCTCCTCTCTCCAAAGCGCCTTGGAAAATATCTACCAAATGTCGAATCTCGGCCGTATGCAGGTCTATGTGAGGCTGCAATTCATTTACCCCGCCAAAGGAATAGTCCTGCTACAGACACGCTATGCCGAAATCCTCCTCGACATGTTCGGCATGGCAAAGTGCAACCCCAGCACGACATCGATGGACGAAGGCCTCCAGAGCCACTCCAGAACCTAATGGAATCCGACCCTGCCAACAAAGAAGATTACAAACGGCTCGTCGGAAGCCTAATCTTCTACACAAACACGCGGCCCGATCTAGTCTATGCTATTAGCGTTCTTAGCCGCTTCATGACTAATCCGCTTCAAACCCATATAGAGGCCGCGAAGCAAGTGCTTAGATACATCCGGGGGACGATCTCCCGCGGTCTCTTCTTTCCCGCAACAACAAAGCTCACCCTAACCGGGTATATCGACTTGGATTGGAGAATGGACCTTGATGGGCGTCGCTCCACAACCGGATTCCTCTTCACGCTAGGATCCGCCCCCATCTCCTAGAAAAGCAAATCACAACCTACCGTCTCTCTCCCCACCACAGAGGCAGAGTACAGAGCACTTACCGACGCGGCCAAGAAAGCGACGTGGATCCGGACACTCCTCCGCGAGCTCAAACACAAGGATATCAGCTCGGTAAAAATCTTCTGTGACAACATAGGCACAATAAAATTAGTCAAAAATCTAGTCCTACATGCCCGCACCAAACACATCACGCTCCAACATCACTTTATCCGGAAGAAAGTAGCAGCCGGGGAAATAGATGTATCCCACATACTGACTGAAAGACAGAAAGCATATTTATTGACTAAACCGGTTGGTTGTACAAAATTCAGCAGCATTTTAGACATCATGTGCCTCTTGGATCTCGCCCAAGGCAGCCCCGAAGGACCCTAGATCAACTGTTTCTTCTTCTAAGCAAGAAAAATAAGCCAGCAGGTTCAATTCTGCCTTACCAGAACTATTGTCTCCTCAACTCTCTACTCCCAACGCCTCACCAACATCTTCCGCCAACAACGCCTCGAAGGAGGCAAGGTCCTCACGGTTGCGGCGTAACGAATCCTTCGCCCCCGAACTCGTCCTTCCTACGCTGCGCAGATACCCCGGCGTATTAAGCCTGATAAATTCTGCCGCAACCCAATCAACCGTCCCTCCTATTTCCCGGTACCATCTCTTGCTCACTCTCCTAAAACGAAACAATAGAAACAAATTTCTTGCATTCCTAATCCACATCTCCGAACAACCTCGACAGGCAACCCTGGTATCAAACACGAAGAACACACACCATCAATACCCAACACCGACACCAACCAATTCATCAATTCAAGAAACAAACGACGGACGATGATCACCATCGCCCACAAACCCAAGCAGAAGATCTACCATTATGGCAATCTCTCGATTTCATCGTACAATGACATGAGTACCAAATAGGGAGAGAAGGTCTTTTCACGGGCTCTTGTGTGAGGGAGAGTGTTGGAACTGTTCACACTAGAGCCCCTCACCGAACGAGTCTCCGCAACATGCACAGTTGGCCTGTATAAAACCGTGTCCCAAGTTGATTTGGTGCCGCCGCACCGTTAGGAGATCAATCAGTTCACTCCGCTAATACATAGGACGCAACCACAAGTAGTTGACATGTACTGAAGCGACACACCCTTCTGAGACAATCTTAATGCAGAAGTTACTAAGCCCTTCATTCCACATTTGGTAAATAGCAAATGTGTTACTATTTCCTACAGCTTCGAGTGTTCTGTTACACCACAAGCAATCGTCCTCCCTCAGCTGCACATCCCCGGGACTCGGTCGAGCTGCTGGATAGCAGATCCCTGCCTCCCAACGACTTGCGACAGTCACCTCGAACCCACTCTCCAGAAATCTCCTCTCTATCAACTCGTATCGTAATGAGTCGATGATTGTTTAAAAAAGCTGCTACTACAACTACGCTCTTCCAATACTCACAAGCGGCCTGCAAAAATATTTCCACAAGGATATCAAACATAAATTGTAGAATTTTCTCAAAATCGCGAATCTCGAAACCAACATACTGTAACAATGGAAAATTAATTCCACCATATCTCCAAGCAAACTGCTCCCCAAACCAAATCCAGTGTGTTGGCGAAGACGCTGTTTTCACACTCACGCAACAAGAAAAATTTGAACAAGATGATATAATTCTGAACCATCGGCTATGAAGTCAAAATTGGCAAGCAAATCAAGTTTAATTCAGCTCAACAACTCTACGGTATGATCCGTCGGCCGTCAAGAACACACCATACGACCACACCCCACCAACACGTAATTGACTTCCTAAAAGTTAAGTTAATTCAGTGTTGGGTAGGTTTAGGGGTGGGAGCTTGGGCCGAAACACAGAGGAACTGGCGCGCTCTTACACGGAGTTGGGAGTTGAGTCGGGACTAGCCACCGCGATTATGTCCTTCAATGAATTTCAGCTCGACTTTCACTGCTCTTCACAAGTTCATCAAAAAGTTTTGGCGAGATCGTGGGGAAGGAAGTCTTGTTGAATTCCAGAAACGTAGTAGAAATCGCATGAGGGGCGCTGTCAGGTGATCTTTTCTTGTGATCGCATGTTACATCTCAGTGAGCTGAAGCCAGCTTTTGGAGTGCGAGTTGACCTAGTCTGGATTGAGAACTTTGTCGTCGCTGCTGATGTGCTACCCAACAGAGTACTGTCAAGATCTTCCTCAACAATGCTCCAGCCTGACTCGTGATAGATAAGAAATGTTGGAGTTACTTCTTGTGTTATTTTCTGGAGTTATTTCTTGTGTGTTTTACAGTGTTTCTGGAGTTTTTTGTTCTGGGGTAGAACCATCTGATTTAGATTTTGATTTAGGTCTTCGATGTGGATATTCAATCATGGGTTACACTTGTATGTAGTGTATCTCTTTGACATATAGCTCTGTAATTACCAATCAGGGTTAAGATTGTCCATCAATTCTCAGTTGCGGTGCCTATGCCAGTATGCGTGTATTAATGAGGCCTCTTAAACAACAGATCATTGTTGTCTAAGGGATAACGTTCAGGAGTATTTTTCTTCTTTTCCTTCTTCTTTTTATTTATTCATTTGTTTAAGGGGTTGCCTACAACTTGAGACAAATCCCTGTAATCCAGCATGTGGCAGTGTAGTCCTGGATTGTGACAACAAGGGCATGCATTCTGAATCTAACATGTAGATTTCGTCGCTCTGGGCAGACTTGGAAGAGTTACCTGAAACGACGTAGGTTTGTAGCAGGTTCATGATTTAGAAATGAATTAGGTAATGGCGATTTGGTCCACTTATCTTTATTACATTGGCTCAAATGGGAGATTTCGTCAATGATCCTGTAGTGGATGCTGCTTGCTGTGTAAGATAACATATAACTTAATTTTGACCCTTGATAACAACTGTGTTTCGTTCGCTATCAGGTTAACATTCAGCAAAGCTTGGTTCACAAAGTCTGCAACTCCTCCTCAGTTACTCCAGAAGCAAACAGAACCATAATATGGCAAAGTACATGAGGTTGACTTCCAGTAAAAGGCATGGGGTTAAGCGAGGACAAGAAGTACTGATTTAAGAGAAAACTTTAACGTGCATGAAATGGGTAGTTTTGGTTAAGTCATTGATGACGTGTCGTAGAATGTCATGTCGAACAGCAAGGAAACTTACTCTTCAAAAATTCTATGCGAGTGCCCATTTTCCGCCTCATCTGCACCTGAATTAGAATCTAGCAGATGCTAGACGTTGGCTGCCGGAACTAGAATCTAGGCAATATTTAAAGCTTCCATTGTCATGGATTCGTGCAATATCCATGACGTTTCGCAAGTTTCTCTTTTAGAAGTGTAAGTTACGAACTTACCACCAACCCATCATCCATACTTTGATGTTGCATTTGCATGAAAACTGGAACTCACAAGCCAATGTGAACCTGCCAAGAGCAAACAACTCTCCAGAAAATGTTAGATCTTTGATGACGGAGGGTGCTGTGAGATGAATCCTGCTCTCGCTTTCGTCACTGCAACAGCATCACGCATTCCCGTAACCTTGCTGCAATCTAACCTTTCTCCACGATTACGCCGACTCCAAGTCTTTCAGAGACCTCCTTTCTATACACCGTACATCCCAACAGCGTAACAGCCATTACATTCAACAAACACCCCTCATGGCGGTTCCCAAACACCTGCTCATCGTAAGTTTCGGGGGCACAACCAATGTTAGAACGGGAGAGCACTGCAAACTTGAGGGGGACCGTCGTATCAGTGTCAGTTGGCAGCACAATCCTACCCATCTTCGCAGGCGGCGAAGTTTTCGACAAAATCTCAAAGACCGAATGAAACTTACTACCATATACTGGAACCTGACTCTGGTCCTCGCCTACGATCTCGTCAAGTAGGTTTTTGACCCTTCGGACCCTCAGCAATGCAACGGTGGTAAAGAAATGGAGCGTCCCTGGCGCAAGTCTCAACAAGCAATGACCCTGATGGGCTTGAAGGCTGTCGATATTTGTCAGTCTCCAACGGGCTAAGCAGGTGACGACCGATGGCAATCTGTCTGGCATGTCCATCCGGATCAACAATGACCCATTCATCCACCAGCGACCAAAGCCCCAGGTGGACCATACATGAACCCGAAAAGATCAAAATACACCACACTAATCTCCCAGCCAGCCCAGGACCAACTTGGCGTAACCAACCCTTTCTCACGACGGCGGTTATGCACCGGTACATTTAGAGCTGGTTGCCACAGCATAGCATCTTCGAGCACGGACGCCGGCACACCAAACAAAAATGCTGTGTTCGGATTCAAGGGAGTGATTTCTATATCGCGTGAAAACACGGTTATGATGGCGAAGATAGCATTGTAGATGTCAGATACATGTGAGAGCTGCCGTTGGGTGTATTCCTCCAGTACCTGCATGAAGACTTTGGCATTGGCTTGGTATCGATTCTGTTGATCCTTCTGATTTCTGATTGAGTGCAGCGCGGTATATCCAAGGCCATGGGGTTTTCCTGGATACATTGCCGTGTCCTTGCTTCTCTCAACGATTGTGTCCTCGGAGAATACATCGCGTTGACATTCGAAGAACAGCTGCTCATTTGTGAAGAACAGTCCCCGTCGTGATAGTACACACTTCTGAAACGTCCATCCACGCATGTTCCACTTTGACGCAGCCATTGTCTCGATCATCATCCTGAGCGGGACGGCCAGCGAGAGCGACTGGATTCTCTCAATACGTTGTAGCTCCTGACGTGACCCCGGCTCTAGCCCCGGGAGCGGAGCATCCGCTGAGTCTCCGCCGACAGAAAATACGGTCAGCATTGCGGCACCATAGATTGTGGCCATCCCCACAATCTGGGCCTTTCTGTTGACACAATCATCTTGGACAATACACAATGCGTCAACCCACAAATACCTTTCCTTCAGCTCCCTCAAGTCCTTGATAGCATCGAGGATGGTTCTCGGCAACGCCATCCTCTTAAGACTGCCCCTATGACATCGCTGATCCACATTCTTTAGGACTGTTTTGTAACCCGTGTTGATTGTTCCACACATATAACTAAGCGCTACATATCTGCAATTCTGGGACGCCTCAAAAACCGCCATTTGGGCCTCATCAATCATCCTGGTGCCCTGTGGCAACTGCTCGGTGACATTCTCCCAGACGTTCGCACAAGTCGGTCCATGTTCCATCTCACAAATGCCCATCCACTCCTTAAACAGTTTGAAGTTAACCACTGCCCCTACCCTACGTCCATGATACTCGCGTTCACGTCAAAAACCTAGCCGCATCATCTTCCATCATCTGCAGCTCCATTGTAAGGCCTGTCTTCTCTTTCATTACCGTTCTATAGATCGCAATCGGCCGGTCGGCACAGACTTGAATGCGATGAGTGCATGAAGTGGGCACAGAGTGTGAAGAATCTGCCCAGCCGCTCGGCCCAACAGCCAGCTTAACACACACCAATGTAAGGTCTTCAGTTGTGTGGCGATCGAGAAGTCAACTGCGGGAGATCAAGAGTGAGATCAAGCCAGAGGCCGCAAATGTGCTTCTTCGAGAGGATTGCGGCAAGAGCACCAAGGGTGATGGAGTGACGCCCACTCTCGACGCCCTCGCGCAACATCTGGTCCAAGTCCAGGGCATTACAGATTTTGCAAAGCGCCGAGTCGGCCAGGACTGGAGCGCTGTTTTCGTCTAGAAACATTGCCATGGCCTTTCAGTGTAACTTGCAAATAGCTGAGCTCATCTGATGGTGAAGTTACATACGCATGGATGGCGTGGGAACAGATCCCTGAAATGCGTGGCAGGCTGGACCTCTTTTGATAAGTACGACGAAGCCGCAATCTGATGTCTGCACAATGTTGTGTACATTGAGACAAAATCTGCAAAACACCACCTGGTCATCTGTAAGGTCATATTTACAATGGGATTAAACCAATACTTGGACTAACCATCTCGATATCAGTCTTGAATTACAATACAATCACCTACCAGACAAGGAAAACAAGGAAAGAACAAGAGCAAAAACTAGCAAGAAAAATTCACGCCATCCCAACGCTCCAATATATGTCCAACACCCAAACGTAAGTGCAATATTTGATTCTCCTAATTTCTATGCACCGTTCTTCTTAATTCATTGCGGGCACATAGAGAAAGTACTTTTAAACAACATTTGAGAAAGAAAACGTGCACGTGAGGGCAAGACTCGCAGTTTAGATGATGACAAGCTTTTGAAAGCGAGCTTTCAATGAGTACGATGGAGCAGCTTTCGATGTAATGAACTCATGCAAATCGAGCTTTGGAGATGTTCTCACCAGCAGTAGCATAACCTTCGACTTGAACCAACGAAGTATCAATTCTAGAGACAGATCTGAACCAATTGGTCAGACAAAAAGCATTAGACCTAACCCAGATTTCGGTAAAAAATCTGACATTTCCCCGAATGGTCTCTTCGTTTTTATATCAAAACATATATATCATAAATGTAAACATCAAATTCGGATGAGTGTTAATACGAAGAGCTATCACTGAGGATCTTCTGCGTGCATCTGATAAAGATTCACTCCGTCAATGATTTCTAAGCCATTTCTAACTATCAGACGTACTTTGGTAGGTCACACACGGGATTATTGTAAGAAATATGCAAAGCATAGATTGATTGCATTCAACGAGAAGGCACGAATTCTATAAATCAAGAAGAATAGGAAAGCAAGGCACTGACTACTTGCAGGAGTGGCATCACCAATGATGGCCAAAGCGGACGGTGTTAACGTCTTCCTCATCAAGTTGGCAGAGCATGTGCAGGTGGAGAGAAGATTCTTCTCCAAATAGATTGCATTGATTCAAGCTGTGCGTGATAGTGACCAATTAAGTAACCAAAAGCCACAATGTAATGTAAGCTCAATGAGGTTCACCTTCCATGATGCAATCTTCGACTTCACTTCCTTAACGACGCAGTGAGGTGCAAGCTCCACCGATTGACTCCCCTCCTTCACACGGGGTACCTGCAGACAGAAGCTACTAAATCAACCACTTGTATTTGCAACAGTTCCAAAATATGCAGCACATGTCGCACCTCCAAGTAAGCCTATAAACTTGGAACAAACTACCTCCCTAGGCGTTGAATCTTCAGAAGCTGGACTCCGGATTTTCATATTGCATGCAACCAAAGCACACTAAATTACGAAAATACTCCCTGTAAAGTTTCAGAAAATGCATGATATCACAAGGTTTACTTTACAAACTTGCCTGCCAGAGACTGCATAAACTTCACTCCTACCTTTTCCTCAAAGAAAGAGACCGACACAGCATACGTCGCCAGGCAAACTGAAAAGCGTGTGCATAAATGACATGACCCACTAGAGCAGCACAGTCCTCTCAGCTCACAGTTCTGCAACACATCGAGAGACAGAACAATTAGGTCTTGGTCCAGTTCCAAGTCGAAATCGAAAACGCTTCATAATTTGAACAACTACGCTGCAATCTCTAAGTAAAACGGCCTTTCAACTGAAACAGTGAATCTTCAATCCCACTATTCCAAAGAGACGTCGCAAACTTCCGAACTCTAGAGAGGGAAAATCCTTGAAGCTCATCTCCCACCTGAGCGATTACAACTTGCAGTCGCGATGGCTACAGAAAACGACCCGGCTCACACTGCTAATCGAGTTCTAAATTTCAAGTGCGTTTGTGCGTCTTAAACCCCAAAACTTGGAACCAAGAGCACCTCACTGCATTTCCTAAACCCGAAATTCGAAAATTCCAAAACCGACGTCGGAGTGGTGACATGTTTCCAGCTCCGAACCACATGCATCAAGTCCAAATTGCTTCTCAGGTCGCGTCGAGGTGTCGACGAGCAAGCTGAAGACTGTTCCTCACAAATGGGCAGCTCTTCCAATCTGCCGCAGCAAGTCCCGGTTTGTAACCACTTGTCAACAGAGTTTGAATTAGTCACGAAATTCGGTCTCGGGGGAGATGTTGCACTGCTATTTATGATATTGGATGTAATCCATCACTGAAGCCCAGAGAACAAAACATCATCATTTGAACAATTTTCATTCCATTAATATTCTGCAGGTGAAAGTGTGCGAAAAAACTTACACTGACAAGACATGGATGCTTCACATTACACATGCAATATTCACATCAACAGATCTACGTTATTCAGTGTCTAGAATAATGATAATGATAAGAAGTTTTTAAGTCTCATATGAATTATCTTAATCCTGATGACTTTTTCTAGATTCTCATTACTTCCAAAGATATACACTAAATATCATTTGTAGGCCCTGCAATGGCAATTTTTATGACATATTTCACATGATTTGTGTGCATAATATTACAAAAGCATGGATTTAATATAAATTATTAAATAAAATTAGCCTTTTTTCAAAACTTCTGTGCTTGTCACTAAATCCCAATTGTCAAGTCTTTGAATTGTCAGAAGAAGAGAGAAGAGAAAAAAAATAATAATTTAAATTTAAAAAAAAAAAAAAAAAAAAAAAAAAAAAAATGTGTTAGAAGAAACACTTAGAATGTTTTTAGAAGGTTTGGGAATTTATCTTAGAAATTTCTTATTGAACATTTTTAAAGTTTATTTTTAGATATTTCTAAAATTTTACAATTTATTTCAAGTAATGTTTCAAAGAATATTACATAATACTTTCAAATATTATTAAAATATATTTGATATTTTACATTTCTTAGTCAAGTTGAACATATTGTTCTAAGATCACTATGATAAAGAAAAAATCACTAGACTTATTGAAAACAAAAAAACTAAACAAGACCTTGGTTGAATAAGAAAATGATGTTTTAAACTAATATGAATTGAATTTCAAATGTATAAATAAGTCTTAATATTAGAATAAATATTAAATCATTAAAACTATAATTATATAAGTTACAACTTGGATTTGAACTAAGATCATAAAAATGTAAAACTTTAAAAACTAATAGATTATAAGCGAATGAAAGAAAAATGAACTATGTCCATTATAGGTGAAGTGTATTTGAATTTCATTCAATATGTTGGGATTTACTAGTGAAAGTGGTTTTAAAGGATGTTTCCTATATTATCAACTGTATTATTTGTATGTTTTATTGCATTTCAGTAATTGCATTCTACTGTATCATAAGCTACAACAACTCATGTTTGTAGGATTACTACTGACTTAAATTTTGGCATACAAACCTTGATTTGCAACAAGAATGTGTGACTATGTTTCTAATTGCTTAGGAGGCAGCTTTACTAGATAGGGCTTAAGACAAGGCTCCACTTAAAATTGGAAAAACTTCAAGAAGACATTGAAAAATAAAAATGCCTACTATGGACTATTATGTTAGAGCAATAAACACATTTCTTGTTATTTGAATGGGGAATGAAAGTTTGTCGCTTTGCATTAATCGTACTTGACCTGAGGCTTGGTGTTTACATGTATTTGATGCTACTAATCCAGTTGCCTACAAAAGTAACAGCCACCAAATCCTAACGAGGCGGGGCGATACAACAACATAATTGCTGCGATGGAGACTGGCATAGGTCAAATGGTATTGACCTCTTCGACCTTTTTCTCTAATTGTATAGTCTAGCTGGCATTAATAGTTTAGGTAGCAGGTGATCCAGAGAAAATCCTAGATGGCTGGGATGACTGATGTGTAAATCTTGTTAACACTCTCCCTCACATTAGTCCGTAATTGTTGCCTTTTCCACAAGAGTGGCACTCTCCCTCACATTAGTCCGTAATTGTTGCCTTATCCACAAGAGTGGCACTCTCCCTGTTTTATTTTTTTCTATCTTTTTCCGAAAATCAATCATGTTGTTGCAAGGTGATATTGAGAGATTGTCGACTCAGAGGTTATTGCGTCTTGCGTTATGAGCAATTGTTGAAGTATGTCGACGCTTTGTTGTGTCTTGGTTTGATTTTCTTAAGAAGGCGCTCTTCGGTGATTTGCTTGCTCCGAAGTCAGTTCATCTATTGGTGCTTGGACTTCTCAATTGCATGATTTGTGAATTCATATGGCCAAAAGTGAGTCATCTAGCTAATTTGAAACTGCTTCTTTGGGTGAGGTGCATGAATAAATGCTAGCGCAAGAAGATCGAGATGACTCAGAGATGACTCAGAATAAGAGAGGTCAGAGCCACCGAATCCTATGAGGTGGGGCGATGCAACTACAACCTAGTTGCTGCAATAGAGACTGCCGCGGACCACTTGGACCTTTTTCTTTGACTAAATAGTCTAGCTAGCGTTAATAACTTAGGTGGCAAGTGACCCAAAGATAATCCTAGGTGGCTGGGATGACTGATGTGTAAATCCCACCAACATATTCACCAAGAGTGCCCGCATCCTGCACACCCTTCTAACTCCAGTAACCGGATGGCGTGTAGGATGTGTATGTCCACTATTGGAAAATGCAAAACCTATCGAACCACAAATGCTAAACCACATTTTAACCAGGGCAGCGAACTGCTTCTATATGCACATGGCTTCTAAAAACTTAAGAAAGAAGAAGGCATTTTCACCAAAAGACATTGAATAAGTTGCCTAGATTAGCACCCACCTCAATGACAGAGTCCTGGCATGACCTGGAAAACATCTGAATAATGTCTGATTGTTTGCTTCTTAATATTGCATATGCCACATTCCTGCTGGCTTCATAAAAACCAACTCCAATGACGTACGTGCTGTCACAGCAGCATTCCAGACAACCGAGCAACCAGCTGGGAACTGAATTGCTCATACGAAGGATCTGAAGGAAATATATCCCCACCTCAAGTTACCGTGCACTGGATTACTCACTGAAAGACAAGTGCAATATCCGGGAACTGGAAAATGCTCCATATAGCAAAACCAACAATTTAAAACAGTTTTTTTTTAATCTAACTCAACGTAAGTGCTTACAGAATCAACTAGGTGTGAACTTGCCTACTACACCGAATTGAATTGATTCCTTGTGGAACGGACACTGAAGCATGAAGATTCTCTGTTTATGCATTAGCATTTCAAGGACGTCTATTACCGTTGATTAGCCTCAGAATTGGCAATGTTAATAATGGCGTTGATTAACCTTAAAAGTGACATTGTTAACATTGGCATTGTTAATATTGGCCATGAGAATACCATCAAACATATCCTCTCGAATATCTGCCCACAGTTTGCTCTGCTTCTCCAACCAGGAGGGAAGATGCTCGTCTTGAACTAGTTTCAACGCGCTACCATCTCTTGATCGAATCCTATCATCCTGAAGTACAATCGTCAAGCCTTCCCACCAGGCTTCCCACGCTGGGCCAGTTGTGGGCACAATCCCTATCACCTGCAATCCTTTCGTCTGCACAAACTCTGGCCTATTCCATTCGTTTGCCTCAGTTTTAGGTAGACCAGCCGCTATATACGCCACTGCTGCAGTTCGATTTGCAAATTGTATAGCGTCAAGTATCTCTATGTTCCACTTATGAAGAGCCCATTTTCCAATACTTCTGTTGGCATCCCAACTGCCCTTTAACAAATCGATTATTGCTCCAAAAGATACCGCAATCAATAAGAGTAGTTGACCAGTTTTTCCCATATGCGGGGTCCCCAATACCACGACAGCTGAGTGAACCAACATAGCCACGCACACAGAAAACAAAGGAAGAGCGCTCTTGAATCCAGTCTCTCGCACTTCCCTTTGCAGTAGACTCTGAATGTCATCCTCATCCCCTTGCAACACACAGAAATCATTTGGTGCATCACTCAGCTGTACCAGAGAGTCTCCGGGAGGGGACCCTCCAGCAGCTTTCCCGACGTTGAACTCAAATTTTCGCAGTCGAATAAAATAAGCCAACAAGGCGTTAAGAATCATGCCTGTAACTACAACGGACAAGGCGAACCATTCCTGGCACCGCACATTCAGTGTGACCACCAGAAGAGAAACTATTGTAGCGATAATACTTAAGAGAGCACCTACATCCTCTGAAACCTCCACCACCTCACCTTCCCTTCCAACAGGAGTCCCAATCTTCGCCCTGACAACAAATGTCGGTCTCTTAGCATTTCGTCCATACTTCGAATCTCTTGCATCGGGGATATTCCTGCCTAGCCTCAAAAGTTCTGACACCAAGGCCTCTCCCACACTACCCTGGACCTTGAGACTCGTCCCGGATTGTAGACCAATGTAGGCAGCCTTACCACTGGCCCTCAACCTGAAAAGCTCTAACATCGACCCACCTCCGCTAGCGCGATGTCCAGTCAAAACCCGTGCGGGCCACCAATCGATGCACGTTAGCACCGCCTGAGCAAGCCCCACACTCCCCGATGTCATGTAGGCATTTAAGTATGGTAATCGTCCGCTGACCAGACAAGTATACGGAAGTGCTCCTTCAGATGCAGTTTTTCCCACCAACACGACCATACCCGCAAAATCTAGACTGGGCAAAAAATCTAGATTGCATAATCGGCTAAGCTTGTTGAACAATTCGGCGATGCCCATTGTTGAAAACACCTGTATTCAAATTGTCAGAGAAGAATACGAGGAGTGAGAACTACACTCTAAAGACCGCAAGCAGTAATTGCAGTAGTCTGCGAACATGTACTCTACTCCTGGCAGATTTCTGACATGAGCAAGCGTCCACTTATCCAAAAAGCTACATGGTATACCGAGAAATAAAAACGTAAGATTTCAGTTACAAATAATTTGGTTCTGAACACTAGGAATGACGAGTTTCTGTTTCATCGTTATATCGTACCTGCAACTGTGCCTTTGGAGTACCAAAAATTCAACAAAAATGTAACTGCATTTTCCAAGCTTCATACCCCAAAAGGACTCGCCAAGAAGCAAAGAAAGAGAGCAAGGCACGACTACAGATGGAATAGATTTATCAGCAGCAGTGGGCGTGCACTTTAGGGATCAATACAGCAGAAGCACACCCTCACATCCTAAATCTGACAGGCTAAAAGGAAACCCAGAAGACAAGAAATTTCAAGGACAGCCATTCCCAACAACGTACTCATGGACTTTCATAAACAGTACTTGAAGAAGAGATTCGAAGCCCTTCGTTGCTGTCCATACGGTGCTCCTAAACTTTTACGTTTCCAATGTGTTCAGTAGACAAACTCCTCATTTTGGTCCCCTGAAGAGCCCCCGAAGCATCTGCGGGCTGACCACTTTTCAGCTGACCCCAGCTCAGAATCCCCCTACTTGCTCGGCTGTTTCGGGCACCATGGCTTCGATGACCCAACTCTGTCGATTGTGACAGATCCACACAAGTCCAATGAACTCAACAAAGATTGAGAAGGATCTTCTCAAACAGACCAGATACACTTAAAAGAGATGGACTTACCGACAATGCAGCGAAGATCTCTTGGGGTACAAACTGATTAGACTCCTTCAGCAACAAGTAACCTGACAAGCTCCAACGAAGCAACCAAATTGAAGGAAAACACGAAAACCAACTCAACTCCACGCGATCAGATCGAAGTCGCGAAGGGAGCTGGGACTCAATAGCAGCCGTTTCGTTCCGTGTCGTGTCGTGCCATCCACTGCGGAAGTGCAGACAGCAAGATCCACGCGGGGGGGGGGGGGGGGGGGGGGGCAGGAGAACCTCTGCGGATGATGCGGTAAATCATAGCACAGACTCCGGCCACCCACAAGTCCCCCCTTCCCCTTGTGATCCAACATCAATGTTTACCACTTTTAAGCTATTGTTTTAAACAGAAATATCTTATAGTTTAAAATATTCTTTTTGAATTAAAATTATAATGATTTTCTATTTTTTGAATTTTACTATTATCTGGAATTTGGTCATTGTCCAGAAAAAGTCTTCACTTTACAACACCCCATGATAGAATGGCTTAATAAGTATGCTTAAGTTCGGTAGCACAAGATATATGTACTGCAGATTGAGCTGGGACAGGTTGAGAAAGTTTTTGTAGGCTTGCAATATTACTCATATTACAATTTATGATTTTTTTATTTTTTTAAAAAACATTGGCACAAATTTTTAAAAATTCATTGCAAGGGGAATAAATACAAAATGTTTGGCTTAGATGGGACTTAAAAATCATGGCTAGACATTGATTCAATATAAGAACCAAAACATAAAAATACAACCTTCACTTATAAGGAAACTACTCTAGCATGGGCTCTAGGTTTGTTTGAATGCTACGGTGAGTTCTTACTAAAAATATGTTGAGAAGTTTGTTGTTGGTCCAAGAAAGTACAAAGCTTCTTGTTATAGAGATCTTTATTGCTTATGTATGTCTTGGTTAGTTTCTATTCTCCCCTTAGTACTTGTTTGTACTAAATTATTACTTGAATCCTTCACTTGTACATAATCTGATCTACCTCATTTTAAACTTATTAACTCAATATAAAATCAATGGAATAATTTGAGACATTTTGCAATAGATTATGTATCTCATTTCACTTTTGTATTCCAATTCTCAAATTAATTACTGACTTGGATTATTTGTAGCAAGTAAATATCTTATGTTAACTTTTAGGTCAATGCTCTTTCGATTCTATATCCAATTATTCTTTTGTACATATCTCCTAAAATAAATGTTTCAATATCTTAAAATTTTGTAATTATATTTTTAACTTAAAAATACAACTATATTTTAATTTTCATAATTATAATATTAATAGATACTAAGTTCTAATTTTTCAAAGTTGTTGCCCTTAACTTGCAAACTACCAAATCTACTTTACATTAGTACTTCATTTTTCCTTGACTTACAAACTATTAGAACTAATAGATGTAATAAGTTTAGCACTTCATTTTTCCTTGACTTATAAACTACTAGAATTAATAGATTTAATAAGTTTTTGTCCTAAAACTTTATACAAGTGGATATACTTGTCTTAAATATTGTATCAAAAGCTTATTCTATTCAAAGACTCCAATGAATCACATAGATTTCAATCCAAGATCCAAAAAATTTTGTCTTTATAAACCAAATAAGACAATACAATTACATCTTTAGGTGCCTTTCTTCACTTTCCTAAGTCACCTTAGTACTTCCAAATAATGTCTTTTAGATATCTTTGAGATGTCATTAACATGTTTCTATCTATCTCTTTTCATTCCTTAAATTTTTATTTAATAATAAATTTGATTACATGAGAAGCTCCCACTTGCAGTTCAATAAAAAGCCACTATATGCAATTCAATCACAAGCTACCATATATGGTCAAATTATAAGCTATCACTTATTATCTATCCTATCTTTATCTTAATCTTTACTATCAAATCTTCTTAGTTATTAGTCTAATAGTCAATCTTGTACTAATGCAAAGAAGTATATAAACTAAAAAAAATATACTAACAATAATCTAATTGTATATTAAATGTAGCAGGGTATAAATAAGATAATTGTATAGATAGTTAGAATCATAGAGGTTTCTAGAATTGGGATTAGATTAGTAGATCAGGTAGGATCTATTGTAGAATATTCTAAAAAAGACTTAGGACAGTTATCTAGATGGGATTTATCATAAAATCTTCTAAAAAAAGAGTTTAAGGTAGTTAGCTAGGTAAAATCCACCACCTAAGAACATTCTAGAAAGTCCATGGTGATAAGATAAGATATAAATAGGACTAACTAAGTCCTTTTGGGGCATCTAATTAGGTATGGCTTTAGACCCTTTCTCTTAGTAAAATTTGGTTTTGTATCTTTTTGTTTAATTCAGTTCTATTTTGTTTCTATTTACTTAGTTTTATCTTTCATGTCCTATTTCATTTAGTTTTGTTCAGATTTTTTCTAGTTTGTTTTGTCCTATTTTGTGATGAAGCTTTACATTATTGTAGATTAGAAGAGTCTTGGATTTATGAGTTAATCTGGTCTTATTTTATTGGTATCAGAGTGGATGTTAGACTGTTTACTTTTAGTAGCATATCAATAGTTATCATCTAATCAAAGGTCAGTTATTGTGGATACATTATATACTATGTTGAGGCTAATACAAGCTACTCTTAAAAAATCAATTAAGAAGTGAAAAGACATTACAATAGTAGAGTCCAAGAGAGAAATTATAATATAGGAGATATGACAGAGCAATTTCAGATGGAGGCTTCAATACAACACCTCTTAGGCTAGATAACTACTTTAAAAAGACAAATAGAAGCTTCAAGGACAAGATAATTGACATGTGCTAGGCTGAAATTGAGTAAGCTTAGTACATACTCTAAAACTTCAAGATAAGAAGATGTATGTCAATGGCTCTTCAACATGCAACAATACCTCCAACTATTTGAGGCAAATACCACTGAAAGAATTATGTATGCAACTAGTTATTTAAAAGATACTACAACCATTTGGTGGCAACATCGAGTTCAAAGCTATAGGGCTCAAGGTAGATTTTGTGTCTAGGAGGAGTTTGAGACTGAGTCTAGGAATCAATTTTGGCCTATTAATATAGAAAAGATAGTACGTGATCAGTTAATAAATCGTATACAAGTTAGACCAATGCAAGTTTATATCTCCTAATTCAAATTCATATGTCTCCAAATTTGCACTATTTTAGATATGGAGATGATGGATTGATTCCTATAAGGTTTGAAACTTAGAGTCTAGTGAAAGGTGGAGCTAAGGAATCCACAAATATTCAAAGAGTCAATTTGGATTGTAGAGAAGGTCAATGCAATAGACTTTAGAAATTATGGATCATGACCTATAATACAAAGTCCTATGTCACTATCTAATACTATGGCACAACAACCAATGCAAATGGAAATTGATGCCTTACAAGGATCATTAACACCACAAAGATAAAAAATATTAGTGCAAAAGAGATTGTGTTTCTATTGTCAAGAGCCATGCCATCAAATCGGAGGTTGTCTAAAATATCAAAATTCAAGTACCAACAAGACAAGGCGAGTTTATAGTCTTGAAATTCACCAAGATGATAATGAATCAGAGCAAGAAAATAGGGCTCTTCAATAAACGCACTAAAGACCAATATTGACAATAGCTATTGTTTCTTAGAGACAAATAGCATGGCCTTGGATAACTATAAAAAGAGTCGATTGGTGCATCCAATAGAACTACTAAGAGGGTTGATGATTGGCTTGGAATTAAAACTAAAGAAATAAAAAAAAAATATATATATATATATATATATATATATATTGCAAGTAACTAAGAGAATGTATTGAGTGAGACATATAAAGAAGAAACCTTGAGATTAACAAATGCCTACATCTTAGGAGAGAGATTCAAGGTAACAAAGCTAAAGTATGATGTTATCTTTGATATGCCATGGCTAAAGATGAAAAATAAGCAAGTTGATAAGAAAGATAATCTCTTTTGAAGATAGAAGACGCAAAGTGACTCTTTGCACCTCTACATCAAGTGAAGAAGAAAGACAATCTCCAATCAAAGACTTATCTATAGGGACGACCTTTATGAAGAAGCAAATACAATATGAGCAATCAGTATATATAGTGATTTCAAATCTTGAATTAGTAGTGAGAAGGACAATCAAAGGAGTAAAATATGCAAACCAATTCATATAGAAATATTAAGATGTCTTTCCAACTGACCTATCAAGTAGCATACCTCCTAATCGATGTGCCCTCTTTCAAATAAAACTATTGCCTAAAGCCAAACTTGTAAGTCGACGATTTTATTGCCTAACACCAAAAAAACTTCAAGAGTGATAGAAGACATTAGATGAATTCTTAGAGAAAGACCTCATTCGAGAAAAAACATCACCATGGAAAGTACCTGAATTCTTTGCATCCTAGAAAGATAGAGGACTTTGCCTTTGTATCAACTATCAAAGATTCAATAAACAAACTATTAAAAATGTATATCTACTTCTATGTATAGATAATCTTTTTGATCAATTTTGAGATATAACTATCTTTAGTAAATTAGATCTTTGGAGTGGCTATTGATAAATACTTATTACAAGAGAGAATATAAAAAAGACAGCATTTTGTATGTGCTATGCACATTTTGAATGGCTGATTTTATCTTTTGGCCTTACCAATGCTCCAACCTCTTTTATGAATCAAATAAATAGATTATTTTGATGTCTTTTGGATAAGTTTGTATTTTTTTTCATTGATGATATTTTTGTTAATAATAAAATCCGTGAAGAGCGTGAGCAATATTTATGATAAGTGCTGCATCGGTTATAAGATAGTTACTTCTATTGCAAGCAATCAAAATGTAAAATTTAGAAGTTGGAAGTTAGGTTTTTAGGACATGTAGTGTCTTCCAAAGGCATGCAAATGGAGCAAGATAAGGTAAAAAGAATGAAGGATTGGCCAACCCTCAACGATGCTTCTGAAGTTTGCTCATTTTTAGGCCTTGTTAGATAGTATTACTATTTCATTTGGTAATTTGCTCACATTATTGTCTCATTGACAAACCTATTGGAGAAAGGTGCTCCATTTGAATAGAAATTAGAGCAGCAAAATGCCTTTGATAAGTTAAAGGAGGCATTCATTACTACTCCATTGTTGCAACTATTGTCATAATGTAATACAAGTAATAGGTAAAAGAGTGTAAAAATTATTATATTATAGAAGATCTTAGTTCAAAATATTATAGCAAATTATCTTAATAATATAGATAA